TTTTACCTGAGCTCACAAAAAGCTGAATTATCTTGTCGTTCAAAATGTTCACTGAAAGAGAGTTTAAAGAATCTTGTAAAGCTGAAAATATGTTGATAAACTTTTAGCTTTAAAGAAGTTGGAGGAGTTAATGTTCCGTAATGTCTATTTTGTTTTCGTTGCTCGTAGTTGAAAGTATTGTTCGTAATTGTTTGTACTTAAGTTTAGTAAGATTCAATAACGTAATTGAATAGTTTTTTAGTAAGTTGCAGAAGTTGGTGAGTGAGTTGTTTCGTTGAAATTTTAGCTTGAATTACAGCGAAGTTAAAGAACTTGAGATTCTAACTTTGTACTTCGCTGCAGTAATGATACAAGCGTCGTGAATTCGTTTAGCAAATGCTAGTCGTCGTAAATTCTCACTGACTGGGTTCGCTCGTACCTTCAATTTATATGTTTTTTAATCACATGATTGGATCCTGGGAGCATTGTTTTTTTCGTCAGGTCAAAAACTAAGTTGATGTTATTCGGACGTAGTGGTGAGCAGGTAAATTGTTTTTTTAATATTTGTTAACCACTCAGAAAGCGCCTTACAAAACTCAGTCTGGAGCCTGATATGTTTTGTGTTGCTTATTGAGAACAATGTACGTGAAGATACATTTGATAATATTAATATTTATTGTCCAATGAGAAGTTCAGGTTTTCAGAAACATGTATGAAGCTGTGATCTGCTTTTAGCACGAAAATCGACATTGATGAATAAGTGGTAACGTATAGCTAAAACTGCGTTTTAATGGGGGGGGACACATCTGGGGAGAAAAATGGGCCGTTAATTAATCTTGTGGGAACCTAAATACGGAACAGAGGAAGGGCGACTAAAAACATATGTGGATCAACAAAGAAACGATTGAAACACTTATGAAACTTTCAGTGGTAGTTGGTAGATTTTGATGGCGTTTACAGAAAAAAAGTTTTTTTTCAACAGAAAGTAACAGTCAACTTAATTATAAGGAAAAGAAGAATAACAAACATCTAGGAGAAATAATAATAATAATAATAATAATAATAATAATAATAAAGACTTTCATTTTTCCCATGATGTAAAGAGAAACCAAAAAGGGTTTCCGGGCACACGTAAATTTTATGACTCCACTTCTGGAAAAGAGATGGTCATTCTCTTCTCACTTCCCAACCATTGAGTTCGGACATGTCTAGTAGCCCTAGCAACTAAAGGGAGAAATAGCCATCCAAACTCAACGTCATGCTAACTTGAGGTCGACCATTCTCTCTAGTTCTGCATGAGTCAATAAAAATGTGCCATTTATTTTCTAAGTCTTTGTGTTGTTTATAGTGGTGTAATGACAAAAGTACGCAGATGTTGGCTTTAAGAAAGCTTTATTCAACTGAGAATACAAGGTTCGCGGATAGTGTCCTTTTATAGTCCCAGTAAACAGAAATCGCTTTCTCAAAGAGGGGAGTAACAAAACAAGGGGAGACCACTTTTAATTATTCATCACAAGCGGTTTACCGAAAAGCGGAACGATATAAATACAAGACTCCACAAAGGTCAATAGTGACATTGCGAGCAAAGTAAATAAGTAATTTATTTGTAGTTTACAGTTATATTTAAATTATATAATAAACAGTAATGAATAACGAAGGGAGATAACTCAAAGTCAAATATAAAAATTGATAGAAAAGACCTGAACAATAGTCGTAAATACTAAAAGAGAGAGAACTGAAAATGAAGAATTAAACAAAAATGGAACCATAACTAAGTAAATAAAAGGGAACCTGGGAAGAACAAAAGAGTCATTGAGAAAAGGTCATTCCGTAAACCACATTGATAACCAGAACTTGTTTTTACTGAAGAACAAAAGCAGGGCATTTACCAAATGTAGAGATGTTATACTATGTCTAACCGAAGTGTACTATACAAAATGGTATGATTTGAAAATGAAAATACCACTGACAGAGATACCAGTGACGTTTCTGAGGTTATCACAGGTGAAACAAGATTTGCATTTCAAAAGATGCACGGTCTTTGTGTCTACGTCAAGGAACATCTCCCTCTGGCCAGAGAGTCCTCTCTCGAATCGCCTGACCAGTCATACATATGTCTCCGACTCTCTCTCCTCAATGCGGTAAGCTATCTCTTCTTCCTTTACCGCTCTCCATCCTCTCAAGACTGTGAGTTACTTGATAGCATTTCTGACAACATAGACAAGGCTCTCTCCCTCCACCCGTTTGCTCACATTTTTGTGTTTGGAGACTTTAACGCCCATCACACCTTGCGGCTTAAGAATGCTACTACTGACCATGCAGGCATTCAAACGCTTAATTTTTCAATCTCCCATTCCCTCACACAGATATTTAACTTCCCCACTCGTTTTGCCTTCAACCGGGAAGGTAAAGCCTCTCTACTCGACCTGTGCTTTACCTCCATCCCCGAATCCTGCAGCACCTCGCAACTCTGCCCTTTTGGTAACGCTGACCATGCAGTCGTATCGGTTAACATCTCCTTTAACTCCACCCCCTATAAAGAACCTCCTACCACTAGAACTTCGTTCTATTATCAACGAGCTGATTGGGACGCGTTCCGTGATTTCCTCCGCGATGTCCCCTGGGATGGAGTCTTTAAGCTCCCCGTCCAAGAATGTGCTTCTGAGGTCTCTTCCTGGGTTAAAGCTGGAATCGACGCTTTCATCCCATCAAGGAAATATAGGGTCAAGTCGCGCTCCTCCCCCTGGTTCTCGGCTGCTTGCTCAGCCGCCATCGCCCATAGGAACCACTACTTCCACCTATACCGTAGCGACATGTCTGACTGCAATAGACGTCTCTTTACCTCCGCCCGTAACGAATGTAAGCGTGTCCTCAATGATGCTAAGTCACTATTTGCGGCTCGAATGAAGGAACGTATTGCATCTCGCAAATTTGGCTCCAAAGATTATTGGCGTCTCTGCAAGAACGTATTGAACAATTGCAAACCCTCTATACCTCCTTTATTCAACCAATTCGAAGTCCTGACCTCCTCTACTGACAAGGCCGAATGCTTTGCTCGGAAATTTTGATTCAACTCTACGCTCGACTCTTCCGGTGTACCCATACCCGACTTCCCTCTTAGAACTGAGGCCATATTGAGTGGGTTAAACATAACCCCATCTTTGGTACTGGGCGTTATCTCTAATTTAGATCCCAACAAAGCTAGTGGCGGTGACGGGATACCAGCCATTGTCTTGAAGAAATGCGCGCCTGAACTGGCGCCCGCCCTTTCGAAACTATACATCTACTGCCTCAAGGAATCTTGTTTTCCTGACTGCTGGAAGTCCTCTTCGATCGTTCCTGTCTTCAAGAACTCCGGCGACCCCTCTGACTCTTCCAACTACCGTCCTATCAGTCTCCTTCCCCTCTTCGGCAAAGTCTTCGAAGCTCTAATCAATATCGGTTAGTTATCCACCTCACATCCCATAATCTGCTCACAGCCATCACTGAAACAGTCTACCGAGCTCTCCAAAATAATGGGGAAGCCCGAGCCGTGGCACTTGACATCTCCAAAGCATTTGATAGGGTTTGGCATGCCGGCCTTCTGCGCAAGCTCCAGGGTTATGGCATTACGGGTCGATTATATAACCTAATACAATCATTCCTGTCAAACCGAAAATTGAAGGTCGTTCTCAACGGATTCTCCTCCAGTTCCTATCCCACGAACGCAGGTGTCCCTCAAGGCTCCATCCTAGGCCCCACTCTATTCCTTATCTACATAAATGACCTCCCCGACGCCGTAACTTCCCAAGTAGGCATCTACGCGGATGACACCACAATTTATTCCTGCCTCAAAAACAAATCTAGTCTCGCTGACAAAACTCACCTTGCCGTGCGTCTCGAAAAGGACCTCCAATCGATTGTGAACTGGGACATGAATTGGCTGGTCAACTTCAACGCTTCGAAGACAAAACTGGTCTCTATTAATCACCACAGAGAGCCTTCCTTCCTCCATTAGAATGTCTGACGCTCAACTTCTCGAGAGCAACTCTCTGCGGCTTCTCGGTCTCACGTTGACAGCTGACCTGAGATGGAATAAATACATCGAGTCAATTGCCTCGTCCACTGCGAGGAAAGTTGGCTCCCTGAGCCGCGCTAGGAAGTTTTTCTCCCCTGAGTCGATCCTCCAGCTATACAAATCCACAATTCGCCCTTGCATGGAGTATTGCTGCCATATATGGTCTGGCGCCCCTTCTGTTTGCCTCTGGGTTCTTGATAGGCTCCAGAGGCGGATATGCAATATGGTTGGCCCTGCCCTGGCGTCTCGTCTACAGTCACTTTCTCACAGACGCGCCATCGCCTCCCTCTGTCTGTTCTACAAATACTTTCATGGAAATTGCTCCGAGGAGCTGCATTCGCTGGTTCCCAGACGTCATGAGTTCCAGCGCCCTACGAGGCTGGCATCCCGCTCTCACCCCCTCACTGTCGAAACTCCTAAATGTAGCCGTCTCTTCTACTCTAATAGCTTCATGTCTCGCACCTCTCGCCTGTGGAACTCCCTTCCCTTCTCCTGTTTCCCTGCGAGCTATAATCTCCAGCTATTCAAGTGTAATGTCAATCGACAACTCCAGTTGCCTTGATCTATCCACTACCCTCATCCTTTCTTCTATCACTCCTATCTGATCTTGCTATTTCCTGTAACCCCTTGCATCCTAGTGGCTTCCCGCCTTGCTTGGGGTGAAACGCTTAAAAAAAATATATATATATCTATGCTGGAGATGTTTCGGCTCATTATATCACCCCAGAAAGTACCTGGCTCCTCCTGCCATGCTTTATCTTCACAAGAGTCAGATTAGACCAAAAATGGGGTAATAGGACCATGTCTAGACTACAGCTGGCAAATACTCAATTTCCCGCTTTGATAGAGTTCAAAAGCGTTTACGAGGTCTTGCAAGGGGGGTGACTTACCTCCCCCTCCTAAACCTTTCTTTCCCACAGGCTTTACATTGCAAGCGTGTCGCTACTCTACAGTAATTTCGGTTTACGGCCAGATCTCATTAAATCACTAGTTCCCATACGGTCACCGAAGTTAAGCAATGTTGATCCTGGTCAGTACCTAGATGTGTGACCGCTTGGGAATACCAGGTGCTGTAAGCTTGGATTCGCAGGTGGTGTAATGGATAATGGCTCGGAATTGTTAAGCGGAGAGCCGACTTCCAATTACAATTAGGTTCGTTATATTCACTTATGTGCAAATACCTTTCGTAAAGCTATGAATCAATTTCTTCTCTCCCCCTGCTATGGGTTAATTAATGAGACATGTGTCACTAAACCAGTATTATTTCAAAAAAGTTCTCAATCTAAAAATATTTCTTCGCTTTAAATAACCTGCAAAGGGTTGATAAGCCGTAAAAAACGAATCAATCAATCAATCTACTGATTAAGCAGAAGAAATTAAAAGAAGAAATTAGTAAAACTTGTAAACCATTATTATCACCAAAATATATTCTTACAATCTAAAAATATTTTCTGGCTTTAAATAACCTGCAAAGGGTTGATAAGCCGTAGAAAACGAATCAATAAGAAAACTCATTAGCTAAAAGGGCATTTTTTTTATTTATTTAAATTCTCTAAAATATATATAGAGAGAGAGAAACTATCGTGACCAGAAAGACAAGGGATCAGTTTTACATAGTGATTGTAATATACAATTGATCCCTCACTTTATAGCCACATTATAATTTTTTTGTTTATTTATCAAATTCGGATTAGGTATAATCTCCAACTATTCAAATGTAATGTCAATCGACATCTCCAGTTACCTTGATCGACCCACTATCCTTCTCATCCTTTCTTCTATCTCTCCTATCTGCTCTCGCTCCAAATCTTCTGCAACCCCCTGCATCCTAGTGGCTTCACGCCTTGCTCGGGGCGTAATGCTAAAAAAAAAAAAAAAAAAAGAGAGATACGGAATAGTATTTACATTAGTCGGACTATTGTCCTCATCTTTGTCGCCATATTTGTCACAACGTTTCGGCCGTTGTACGCTCCGGCCTTCTTCAGGTGGTTGGAATTTCGAACTGAACCCTTTATTTCGATCACTGGGGTAGACTGTTCTAGTTCCACGTGCCATGTTTGATGGATGTCAGTTATCAGTTATCTCCTGCTAATTTTCCCTCTGAAAGTTTTCCACTGCCTTAACCAGGTATTGAACTCACCTTCTTTTGGTCTGTCACTGGATCTAACCAACGCCTTTATCCACTGTGCCATGTGTCCTTGAGGAAATTCCAACCACCTGAAGAAGGCCGGAGCGTACAACGGCCGAAACGTTGTGACAAATATGGCGACAAAGATGAGGACAATAGTCCGACTAATGTAAATACTGTACATAATACCTCATCTCAAAAATATAGACAGACTCAGATACGGAATAATTTCACAAAGAATTTAACCAATCACAAGGAAAAGAAAAATACTTCAATCTATCAATAGAAAGCGTACTTTATAAAAAGAATTAACAAAAAGCTTGACAACTATCGCCCTATCATGTTGAATATATACAATTAAAAGTCCACACAAGCAAAGTAACATATATCCTAAATAATAACCAGTTACGTGAACAGGTAAATTTCTACAGTGATTTCTCAACAATAGAATATATATAATTAAAAAATTAGTTAAGTAAAAAAATATAAGAAACCATTTTGTTTAGTTTTGGTTTATTATGAAAAGATATCTGACTTGGAAGAACACTCCGCACACTTTAACACTGTAGACAGTATTAGTAAAAATTATGTTGACGTTATTAAGAATACATACGATAACACTACTGCAATAACTTGACTGCACAAAGATTTAAAAATAGAAAAGGAGAGAGGCAAGTGGATATCCACCGAAACTATTTACATCAGACATTGAAAGTAACTCCCAGAAAATGAAACTAAAAGAAAAAGGGGGAAAGTATAAACAAATTACTGAAATCATTATTTATATGTTTGGACTATTGTCCTCATCTTTGTCGCCATATTTATTACAATTGACAACCATTAAACATGGCACGTAGAACTAGAACAGTCTACTCAAGTGAGTGAAGTAAAAGATTCAGTTCGACATTATAAACACCAGAAAAAGGCCGTAGTGTACAACGGCGGAAACGTTGTAATTAATATGGCCACAAAGATGAGGACAATAGTCCGAATAATGTAAATTGTGTACATAATACCTCATCTCAGAAATATAGACAGATACTGAAGGGCCGAAACGTTGTAATAAATATGGCCACAAAGATGAGGACAATAATCCGAATAATGTAAATAATGTACATAATACCTCATCTCAGAAATATAGACAGATACTGAAGGGCCGAAACGTTGTAATAAATATGGCCACAATGAGATGAGTGTGACGTCGTCCACTGGTCGCAGCGCCAACTGTGACGTCCTATCCTGGTCTACCACGGCACCAACTGTGACGTCCTCGCCGCGGCGCCAGCTGTTCGCTCCTCGCTGCTCCGTCCGACTGTCGCCGCTCCAAACGTGACGTCCGACTGTCGCGTCAGTCGTGTTGTCTCGTCCTGTGACCACCAACTGGCTTGGGATCGGTCGCGGCACCCAAATGTGACGTTCTAACCTTTTGGTGATTCGGGTGAGAATCTGGTTAGATTTTATATCAGCCTCGTCGTTCCCAACTCGCTTCCAACGCCTGGTTACCAAGGTAACTGCATTGATCTCAGTCTGCCCACCCACGTTGTGAATTGATCTTAGGCAGACGAGATCAATCAGTAATTAGGGCCGTAATGCAAATCGGGTTCAACGGGGTGACACCACACAAATATGCATAAAAGAAAATAAAATGAAAACTCAAAAGTTCAAGGTATCAAAGAAAAAGGTAACAAACTTTATGTCTAGTTGTTCGATACATAGGACTGCATCTACCTCCCGACCCGTCCTATGGATTGTGGCACGTCATTTTCCGTTAGGCGAGTTTTAACGCGTCAAGTTGTTTGCTCTCTAAGAAATTGTTTTTTCGGTGTGTCTTCGGACGAAAGTCGAAAAAAACTTATTTTGGTGGTCTTGATCTAAGTCGCTCTTCAAAATAATTGTTCTTGGGTTGAAGAGGAGTCTGGAATTTGCATGAATCTTGGTCAGCTATCTGCGAGGCCTGCTTCAACTGGAGACTGACTCTGGGAACTGTCTCGAACTCAACTCGAACTCAAACTGACTTCTGCTTGCTGTGGCTTCGCTTATATGGACGCCGACCAAAACCGGGGTGGGTTTGTCGGCGTCAGGGTTTCCTCGATAATTCTAAATACATATCCACCTCTCTGGTTAGGAATTTCCACTTTTTTTTCCATTTTTGGGAGCCTTTTCTTACTCCCACCTTCTCACCATACTTCAGAGGGGCGTGAACTGCCCTCCCCACTTCTTCGTATCAGCTTCTCATACCCATACTCTGGATGGGCGGCGACAGCCTCCTTCGTGCGTCACGTGATCACCACTCGACCAATGATGTCTTAGTCGGGCGTGGACGAATCCGCGGCTTTGTTTCAGGAAAAAAAAATATCTTGCTCAACTAAAAAAAAAAGTATCTTTTTTTTCCTTTTCTTCCTCTTAATCGCAGTTACCATTTTCTCTAGCCGCAAACCGGACAATATGAACAATGGCGGTCATAACTCTTGTTCTACACGTGGACTTCGTCAGTCATTTTATCGCTAATTATCCGAATGGGTGGTCTTTTTAACACGGCCAAACGTCGCCTCGAAAAGAACATTTCTAAGTTCCCATTCATTCCTTTTTGGTACACATTTCTGATAACATAATTTTATTATCGCAGGCTAAAAATGTTCCGTCGAAAGAAATCGGTCAGTGGACACGTCTTGTGCGGCTTTTAATTTTTCATATCTATCCAAAGCCCTTTTAGTCCACCTGTTTCCCTCACTTATCGAAATAACATTTTCATTTGGATTTTTCTTTGGCCAGTCGGCCAGCAGTTTGTTTACGTATCTTCAGATAACACAGCCGTCGCCAAAACACACCCGATTCCTTTATCCACTCAGAATTTCCCTGTCATTGTAATGACATTCTTTCGCCATTTGTTACTTATCAAAATATCCTTTATCCATTGTCTCTTAGCCGTGGTGTTCTGCTTATCATCCACGCTTTGGATCTTAGCTCTCTTTTTCCTTTTTTTTTTCTTTCTTTTCTTTTTCTGCCTTGATAAATGGTGCCACATGAGGACAATAATCCGAATAATGTAAATAATGTACATAATACCTCATCTCAGAAATATAGACAGATATTACTGAAATCCTTTATAATTTACATCTTTTAGGAATATTGTCGTATGAATTGCAAGAAATGTTAAATGACATAAATAAGGAAAATTTCAGTGCATGATTCTTTTTTCAAATGAACAGAAATATAATAAAAATAATGTTCAACTGCGCAACTGAGCGAGTGGTTAGTTACTTTCCGACAATAAATCCTAGTTTAAATAACAGATTTTTCATGGCGGTTAAATTCTTGGATGTTATCAGCCTGATTAGACGATGACAGAATGCGGCATCATTGAAATGTAACTGAAAAAACATACCCCGCGGTTTTACCTTTTTCAATGAAATTCGGTAGATGTAACCGTTTGGAGGTTGTCAATGATTGTGCTAGCACGAAGTTACAAGTCATCGTGACAGAGGATTTGAGCGTACCATACCCCGGCTTGATCAAAGCTTTGTGAGTGAAATTGATCAAGTCAATCTGGGCTATACTTTTAGCGCACTAGCCTTGTTCCAAAAACATTGGTCACGGCAGATTATGCTCACTATTAGCTAAACAATATGTAAAGAAAGACAAAGGACAACAAGTTTTGAACCGCAGCAGCAGCAGTAGCAACTCTAATCACAACTATAAACTATATGCAATCGTTTTCTCAGATCAGTAGTTAAAAATGTCATCAAACGAATGAATCCTCAAGATCTTAAAGAAGCAGTCCTTGATAGATCCTATAGACTGGCGCTACAGAATCACAAAGAACCACTTTAAGATTTCCAACTACAACTAAGATAGATATAAACACGCATATGTAACTCGAAGAGAAAATAATGATATAATCAAGATGTAAACTTTCCATTTTATCAATACGAGAAAGAGCGATAACAGT